GAGCATCATGGCTTTTGTTCCTGGTGAGGGCTTTCTTCCTGGCTTGTAGGCAGCCCCTTCTTACTGTATCCTCACATGGCAGAAATAGACTTCTGGTGACTTTCCTTTTCTTCTAGAGGTACCAGTACTGTTGGATTAGGACTCCATTCTTAGGAACTCATGATCAAACTTGAATTACTTCCTCAAAGGCCCTATCCCCAAATGCAGTCACATCAAGTGTTTCGGTTGAAATATATGGATTTGGAGGCTCAAGGACACCAGGCACCAAAGTGGAAAGAGTGTTAGAGTTAAAATGGGGGATTAAGTCAAAATCTACAGAATAAACAGTGAGACTCTTTCAGTTTTCCTCCCTCCTCCAGCTCTAGTCGGCTAGTATTCAGACTCATATCTCCCCGTAGGGTTCTTTGCTGAGAAAAAAAAAAATGAGCCACACCAAAGAACTACAGATACTAAAATTTGGGTATTCCCATTAGAGGTCCAACTGACCATCCAATTGCCCTACAGTGATGCCCTTTAGTATGACAGCCCTACCTAGACCCAAAGAAGTTCCAATCATCTTTTGGGAGCCTAATAAATATAAATGAACAAAAAAGGATCATATGATAAGACTCCAATGTGAAATATAGAAACTAACACAAACAGAAAAAAAAAACATAGCCAAGGGGAAACAGAAATAGTACATGGAAGAAAATCAAATATCAAAGAGGCTATAATTAAAATGCTCAGAAAGCAAAGAGAAGAAATGTGAAATAAGATAGTGTGTGGGGGTGTGTGTATATACCAATTAAAGAATAAGTTAGAGCACTCAAACATTTAAACTGCTATAGCCAAATATTTTTTTTAATAGGAGGATCTCCTGAAATGTAGAATAAAAAGGAAATAGATAATATAGGGGGGAAATGTAAGAAAAGAGTATCAATTCAGAATGCCCAACATCACAACTAATAGGTGTAATAGAAAAAAAAAAAGAAATTTAAAGACAGCGAGGAAGAAATTTTTAAAAAAATAAAAGAGAATTCCTAGAACTGGATGACATCAATTTCCATTTTGAGAAGGCTTCCAAGTCATCAGTACAA